CCGCGGAGCCGCTCGCGGGCGCGGGGAAGGGCGGGAGCCGGTCGTCGCCGCTCGGAGGAGGCTGGGTTCGGGCCACCGCGCCCCAGCTCCGACTTCCTGCTTCGCGGGGCGCCGCCGCGGACATTTTGCGGCGGGCGGGGGAGGGGAGCGGAATTGCAACAGCGGAGGGGAAGTGGCTGCGGGGAGGGGGCCGCGCTGGCCACCGTGCAGGGCCTGCGCCGCGCTACCCCCGGAGCCCCCAAGCCCGGCGCCTCGCGCGCGGCATGGGCCTGAACCCGGGGCTCCGGTCCCCGCGGTTCTTGCCCTGGGTTGAGTTTCTCCTGTTTCCGTTTGCTTCTCCAACTCTCTCTGCTTATTCAGCTGAAGCTGCTTTTTCAGGGAGTTACCTAACCACTTCACGAAACCTTCGTTTGGCGGCTTGCTTAATTCCTCTTACTGGGGGAAAATTTTCTTTGTTCTTTTTTTTTTTAACCCTCCCCTTTAAGTCCAAGAAATGCAGTGTTGAAGATTACGTCATCGGAGTATAAGGGGCGAGCGTTTTAACTCTTGCAAGTCAAGGACACACCAAATTAAAACAGCGTTTTGCAGGCCTGCTGGGGCACCCGGTGGGTTATCTTGTTGCTTTACAACACATCCCGCGTTCAGAGGTGGTTTTTTGAAATCCTGTTACCAGTGTACACGGCCACTTCCAAGGTGTCTAAAAGCCGGGAAGGTTTAAAGTCGCATGATTAGTTTGTGCCAGGAAATAAGGCATAAGACAACACCTATACCCACTTATGTAGGCATTAACTTTAAGGGTCCCCTTGGCTGTATTTGAGTGAACTTATTTGTGGGAACAATTCTTTGGTTCAAAATGACTTCCCCAGACTGTTCCGACCTCTCCCTTATGACTTATTTGATGTAACACCCTCCCCAGGTTGACACCAGTGCTATTTGTGAAAGGATATGTTGAAAAAAAGAATCGGCCTAATCTTTGGTTGCCAGATACTTTTGTCACTAAGGATCAGTTTTGGATTTTATTTTTATTTTGTGTGTTTATCTGTGGTGACTAGGATTGACCCCATGGCCTCGTGCAGGTTAGGCAACCATTCTACCACTGATAAAAATGCCAAGCTCAAGTTTGGGAATTTTACTCCAAAAAAATGGAATAATATTTTCAAACATTTGGAATCACAGTGTATGTTTCCCAGAAGGTTAGATACAGCCTAAATTTTACATTCTTTATTTAGTACAGAGTACAGTAGTGTAGAAAATCTGAACATTGTGAAGCTAAGGAGATCCAGTTGTGTAATGCATCCTTGTAAGGGTAGTTCATGTTGGAACAAGTATTCTTCCATTGTTGCTTATTTATACAGAAAGAACAGATTGCTTGTTAATCACCTAAAGGAGTGGTAGGTTCAAATCGGCTTTCTGTAGTGTGTAGGTGTTATTGATGGCTGGATAGGTGTGGACTTGGGTCTTCTGAAATACATGTTAGCATTAATGTGGAATTTTAGGAATGTAAAATTGGAACACTTACTTATCTTGAATCTTCTGTACATATCTGTCTGTCTGTCTATCTATCTATCTATCTATCTATCTATCTATCTATCTTTTTGAGACAGGGTCTTGCTATGCAGTTCACGCTGGCCTTGAGCTCTCTTTGTAGCTCAGGCAGGCCTTGAACTTGCAGCCATCCTCCTGCTCCAGCGTTCCGAGTGCTGGAATTACAGGTGTGCACCACCACGCCTGGTCTGTACTTAAAATTTAGATCTGTATGTATATATAACACACCAACTTGTATCTTGAAAAGTGTAAGAGTGGTATGAACTTTTTTTTTGAGTGGTATGAACTTAATGGTGTTTAGACTGACACAAGGAGACAAGAAATTGTATTAATGAAGTATTAAAAATGAGTTCCTTGCCACTAATTTTTTTTCAAGGCACGAAAGGTATATTTTCTCTTTATCCTTTTAACTACTTACATATTATGACCAACACCTGTGCTTAGTAAACTTGCTTCTTTAGGAACCTCAGCCAGATGTTATAGCCTAGAGTAGTATGTGAACTTTCAAACAGTGTGTGAGATTGTTAATTTGGGTGGTGCCGGTGATTGAACCAAGGGCCTTGCATAGGATTTGCAAGCACTCTACCACCGAGCCACATTCTCAGACAGTGAGATTCTTAAAGCCCAACAAGTTCAAATCTTGATATTTTTGCTAATGTCAGGATTTCTTTTTAAATTCGAATACTTTTTTTTAAAGTAGGGAAATTTATTGGAGAATAGGAATGGGGAATGGGGAATAGGAATAGCTCCTGAGAGACAGGAGGGATCCTGAATGGGTTGCCAGGATATTCTTTTGTACTTGTGATTTTTTTTTTTTTCCCAAAACTGAGGATTGAAGCTAAGGGCACCCTACCTGCTGAGTTATATCTCCAGCCCCCTTTTTTGAATTTTGAGGTAGAGTTCTGCTAAGTTGTCCTGTTTGGCCTTTGATTCAAGATCCTCTTGCCTCAGCCTCTTGAGTAGCTGAAATTACAGGTGTTTGCCATATCTGGCTTTCATTCCCATGCCTCGCTCCCAGTTGTAATTTTATGGCTTATGAGGAAAGTATTTCCAATTATTTTTAAGATGGTTACACTAATAAATATTTTTACCCAAGAGCTGTCAAGCTTGGTAAATTTTGAAGTACAATTTACTTTGCCTGTCTAGGAAGCAGTATCAATAGCCATTTTGGAAGTAAAAGTCAAAATATACTTTAAGATAAGTTTTTTTTTGGTGCTAGGAATCAAACTCAGGACCCTGAGCTTGCCAGGCAGGCACTATGCCGCTGAGCTGTATCCCCAGCCCTAACGTATATTTTCAATGTATTCATTGTTTTAGATTTTATTTTTTTAAGATAAGCAACAGTTAATCAGTTTAAGCTATGGGACTTCCTCTGAAGGGGAGGGAAGTGTTATTTTGTTCATTTACTTCCCATAAAGTGTGACAAGTCTGTGTTGAAGGACTCCTAGGCTTTTATGATAATGCCTGTTTAATGTTCTCTTAAGAATATATTTGTAGTTATTCTCCTCCGTTAGAATGTAACTTCTTCGAGGGCATGGTTTTGGTCTGGTTTGGTCATCCCTGCATTCCTAGCACATACTGCCAAAGATAGTAGGTTTTGAAAAATGTTTGCCGAATGAATTTGATGATGACTGAGGATTAACATTTTCCCTTTCTGCATGTTCCATAGGTCTCTTTGCTGTGTTTCCTGAGACAAATTTTGTGCTTGGTCAGCCATATCCATATTTGGGTTCATTGAAGTGATAATTACCAGTCTCCTCTTGTTTGACCTTACACATTTGTTCAGTCCAGCGTCTTCTGCAGCTGTACTATTTGGACAATTTGCCATCACTTAGAAAATCTGCTGATGAGCCAGGCATGGTGGCACACACCTGTAATCCCAACACTCAGCAGGCTGAGGCAGGAGGATTGCCACATGAAGGCCAGCTGGGCTGCATAGTGAGTTCAAGGCCAGCTTGAACTACATCTTGAAGCCCTGTCTTCAAAAACAACAAGAAAAAAATCTTCTGATAATTAGTCCCCCATTCCTTTTGGAGCTTGATTTTTTTTTTTTTTTTTTTTTAAAGAGAGGAAAGGTTTATTTAGCTCACAGCTTGTTGAGGTTTCATTCCATAATAGGCTGGCTCTAAAGCAGAGTGGCACATGGCAGAGGGGCAAAAGTTTATGGCAGCAGAAGACAGCAAAAGAGGAGAGCCCCTTTTTAAGGATTGAACCCAGGTAGGGCTTGAATTTGAGATCCTCCTACCTCAGCCTCCCAGAGTTCTGGGGTTATAGGATGTGGTACCACACCTGGCTTGATGATTAGTTTCTTCTCTTAAAAGTTATTTAGACTTAATATTTATTTCTTTATCTTTTGTTTTCAAATAGCAGCTTATTTTTGCCACTTCTATCCCTTTACAGTATCAAATTCCAGGTCATATTATGCTTTGTCCCTTATGAGTTTTTACTTTCAGTTACTCATTTCTTCAGTGCAGAGTATTTTTACTAAAGCAGTTTTCATTAGTGCCAGTTCAGCTGTGTCTGCTATTGGTATTATAAGCCTGGATGGCAGAACTCTTCTTCGTTGGTCGCTCTTGGGACATTGGTCTCAAACTACTTATTTTGTGAAGTGAAACTAAATGTTCTGCCACTAAAATGGTGTCTCCCTTTGCAGTTTGAGAGAAAAAACTTTTATTTTGACCTTAGAATTAGCTATTGTTACTACTTTTTTTTTACTTCGTTTTGTCTTTTGATGCAGGATCTTGCTATGTAATTCAGAGTGGCCTTGAACTCACAGGCATGGAATTGGCTATTATGTTAAAGTGCTGGTGCTTTGCCATCTAAAGAGAGTGTCTGACTTGACTCTGATGCTGGACTTTTGTTAACACCTTATATTTTGATAACACCCTCTTCTCAAAAGTAAGCTACCCATTTCTATGTCCTGTAGAAATTCAACTGTGTATTGAGCAGGATACAGTACCAATATTTTATCATTGTGACAGTGATTAAAAGCGTAGACTCTGGAACCTGTTAGGGTTCAAGTCCTAATCTATCACTTACTAGCTGTGTGCAGCTTAAGTAATATATATTTTTTTTTTTTTTGGTTTTCTCCGGTACCGGGAACCGAACTCACGACCTTGCACTTGCCAGGCAGGCGCTTTTGCCGCTGAGCTAAATCCCCAGCCCCTAAGTAATATATTTTTGATACCAGTTTTCCTCATGTACAGTAGTACTATTGCAGTAGTGTCTACCTCACGGTGTTGAAGATTAAATCAGTTAATGTATGTGGTTAAGACTGTTCACTGGCATATAGTGTTACATAGGTGGTTACTGTCACTATTATCTTCTTGCTTCCTTGCCTTTGAGAGGTTGTTTACCCCAAACATTTTATTTATCTTTTTGTATTTATTTTTGCAGTGATGGAGATTAAACTCAGGGCCTTGAGCTTGGTAGATAAGTATTGTACCACTGAGCTACATCCCCATAAAAAAATTTTTTTTTAAAAACTTAACTTGAGGCAGGTCTGTGGAGCCCAGGTTGAGCTCAAATTCATGATCTTTTTGCCTCAGCATCCAACTGTGAGGCTGCTGTTACAGGTGTGTGCAACCAAGCCCAATATCCATAAACATTTTAGTAACTGTACCTCTCTTAGACTAATGTTATGAATCCATAAACATGTTTAAATGAAGTAGGAGTTGTCTTCTTTACACTTTCATCAGTTATCCTTACCAATGTTGTATAATCGAGGGTGTTAGGTAGTAGTGGCAAACCCGTGTGCTGCAGTGGGGGTTTGTTATCATTGAAAGTTCCCCATCACTGGTGTAAGGCCTTAGGTTGTCCATGTGTGGGCCACCAACACAAGCAGCATGGGAGTGAAGTTTAATTAGACCTTTTGGGCCCCAGCTGGCATCATGGAACACACCTGTGATTCTAGCTTCTCCGGAATCTGAGGTGGGAGGGTTGTGAGTTCAGGGTCAGCCGGGGTGACAAAGCAGAGATCTTGTCTCAAAATAAAAAAAGGACTGGGGATGTAGCTTAGTGGTGGAGTGCTTGCCTACTTAACATGCACAAAGCCCTGGGTGTGATTCCCCTGTACCACAAAAACACAAAATACCAAGATCCATCCAAGTCCTGCTGAATCAGAATTTACATATCTATCTATCTATCTATCTATCTATCTATCTATCTATATATTGTTTTTTGTTTTTTTGAGACACAGTGTTGCACTGTGTAGCCCAGGCTGGCCTCGAACTCATGGGAATCCTCCTGCCTCAGCCTCCTGAGTGCTGGGATTTATGTGTGCTACCACGCCCAGCTCAGAATCGATATTTTAACAACAATCCTAGGGGAGGGCCAGGGATATGGCTCAGTGGCATAAACGCTTGCTTGGCAAGCCTGAGGTCATGAGTTCGATTCCTTTTCTTTTTTTCTTTTCTTTTTTTTTTTTTTCTGGTACTGGGAACTGAACTTACAACCTCATGCTTGCCAGGCAGGCGCTATGCTGCTGAGCTAAATCCCTAGCCCCCATGAATTCGATTCCCAGTACAAAAAAAAAAAAAAGAATCCTAGGGGACTTTCATGCATATTAAGATTTAAAGCATCCTTTCAGGACTGCTAAAGTGATGTCTTAATATATTTAAAAAAAAAAGATATTTCAGAAATAATGTTGAGTATAGCCTGGTTTCCTTTTTTCCCCTGCATTTTTTTTCTGTTTTTCTTTTTAATTTTTATTTTTATTCATACATGTTTGTAGTACATAATAATTACATTCATTGTGAAGAGTTGATACGTGTACATAATACATCTTAATTCTTTGTCTCCTACCTCTCTCCCTCTCTGCTCCTTCCATGTCTTGGTTCCCTTCCCATTTGCAAAAGCTCTATCTCCATATTTTAGACTGGTTTCTTCTAGGCAGTTCATCAGAATTTATTTTAAGGATCATAATGTGAGTGAATCTGAAGCCCATTTTTTTTGTTTTGTTTTAGTTTTTTGAGACAGGGTCTCCAGGATGGT